GTATTATTCACACAAACTACGTGGAATATGTGAAGAGAGAGACTGAAGGAACAATGCAAGCATTTTTGCTCGAACATATAAATAAATGGCTTGTTGATATTTACTGTCACAAGGTAAGTCTCTATATCATTAAGGAAAATAATGTATCCATTACATGCCTTAGCATTCTGGCCTTACTTCGACATAGATGAAGCTATCATTTCTAGACTACTAAATCTTGAATTTTGATGAGTCAATATAAATTGGATGGTCATCCTGTTAGTGAATTTTCTAACTGTCTGGCGGTGCTGTAAAATCTCTGATTTTTTTTTTTGTTTGGTGAAAGTGGATAGCGAGAAGCAATTCTTTTATTTCTTATTGATTGCATGAGGCTGATGGACAGAAAGTGATGATAACATGCCTTGCTTCCTCTGGCCCATCAAGCAATCATTCTGACTATCCTCAATGTCATCTTAACTTAAAAGTTTGTGACCACAAATAGAGTTCTTTTTTTTTTTTTTTGGCCATCTTAAGTAAAAGTTTATGAATAATTTTGTTATAACTCTAAAATGTCCCTCATTTGATTTCAGGTTATTAGACTTTCTGCTGCTACCCAGGATTATGATGGTTCCATTATATGTAACGTCCATGGAGTGAACCCCAAATGCCTTGCCATTGGTAAGAAAAAGATGGAACAACTGCAGAATGGAGGTCATGCCTTTACGAAAGGTGCCTACTATATTGGGAAGATGGTATGGAGCAAAGGCTACAAGGAGCTGATCAGACTTCTCAGTGACCACCAAAATGATCTTGTAGGACTTGAGGTTGATTTGTTTGGCAGTGGAGAAGATTCAGATGGAGTTCAAGAAGCGGTGAAAAACTTGGAACTGATAGTTAGAGTTCACCCAGCACGTGATCATGTAGATCCTATATTTCATGAGTAAGCTTCATCATGCCAACTGATTTTGCCAGATTTTGGAAACATCACTTCGTTTTCTTGATTTTATATTTAAAGATTATAGACCAAAGAAGAATTTAGTTAGAAAAAAAGGTGCCTGAAGTGCATCAATGGAAAAGAAAAACGATTTAATTTGTTTCTTTTATTCTGAAGAAAAATGATTCAGGTTGAATCAATTAATTAGTCAATTATAGACGCCATACCATCTGAGCAACAGAGTAAGGCATCAAACTACATGTTAACTTGAAAATTACTCAATCTGCATAAGTAATCACATGCTAAGCCAGTCTTAGGATAACAAAAGTATGCTAAAATACAATGTTAATATTATTCATGTCAAGTCAAAAGTCATTTAGATATATGCTGGGAAAAGCCAACTTAAATCTCACTTCTACTGCAGTCTTGCATGCGCCTCCCTGGACAAGACAGCAGTAATCAGCTAATGTTTAATACTCCTTTGGTCCCAAATGTGGGAGCTAATTAGGGAGTTAGTTTCTGTATTAAATGTAAGACCTTAATCTATTTTATTTTTATATTTATCAATTTTTTTTCAAACTAATTTGTCTAAGTTATAAGTTGATGTGTAATGTAATGTTACATATGGGTAATGTAGGGGGATCATATTAATTTGTTAGAATTAAGTAATTTATTCACATTTCTTAACCTATCCATATTAGTTAAGTAGTTTTGATATTAAGGAGCGGAGGAGTATTTTTTTTAATTGAAATGTTAATTAATTCTCTAAGCTTCCCCTCTTTCTCTTGTAGAATTTTTTCTTTAGATGTTAGTCATAAACGACCCTAGGTCAGATGAAAAACATCTTGGAGATGACTATTTTTTGGACCCTAAAAACTGTCACTAATTTGGGTTTGAATTATTCCTTTTGTTGGCTCCCTAACAGACTGTACTGACCCAAAATCAAGAAGATTAAACTCTCCATTGTACGCTGTTTCTTTTACAAATCAGTGGTATCTTTCAAGGCCCAAATTATAGAATTTGTCTCTTAGTGAATGCACTACTTGGAGCATGCAAACGTTAATCCATTCTGTTTCTGTTTTCCAGTTACAAATTGTTTCTGAATCCAAGCACAACAGACGTGGTTTGCACAACGACAGCAGAAGCTTTAGCAATGGGCAAAATTGTTGTATGCGCCAACCATCCCTCAAATGACTTCTTCAAGCAGTTTCCAAACTGCAAGACATATGATGACAGCAATGGGTTCGTTAAAGCAACAGTTGAAGCACTAACCGAAGACCCTGCGCTACTTACTGATGCTCAGAGATATGAGCTGTCCTGGGAGGCTGCCACAAAACGGTTTCTTGATGCTGTTGAGTTGGACAATCATTTTGCCAGAAAATTTTCGGAGAGTTCTTCTAGAAAATGTATGTCTGCATCTTCATATTTGCAAAGAAAAGTGCAAGATACATCAGCATGTCTTCATCAAGCAGTTTCAGGGAGTGAAGTTTTTAGAAGACTATTTGGAGCAATTCCGGGTAGCTTGCAACCTGATGAAGAGTTATGCAAGGACCTTGGCTTAGCTATTCATCCAAAGAAGCAAAGGTGAAATTAATGTTGGAATATATGGAGATCATTTTAAGTTGCCCGTGCCCTAGAGGTGCGGAATGGTTTTTAGATGCCAAGGATCCCTTTCTTGTCACTCAGGAGAAGATCTATTGCCTGGAAATTTAATCTGTACAGAAGGCAGGATTGATCCACGGGCAACATTGCTGAAACAAAGCTTTTGTAACTATACAAGCATGGAGATTTAGGTGGTCAGATTCGTTTGATGTTGTCTTTCCTGTGAACACAATAGTATAAACTGCACCTTATGTTCTAAACTGTGATGGGGGTATGTCTGCTTGCGCTGTAAGCCAGCAGTGGACTGATGAACGCGGGGAAGAAATGGATCTAATCAATTGGTTTCTTTCCTGGCCAGTCTTGTGAAGTTGTGACGTCATTGTTAGCAAGGACAATATGCGACATGCGTTATGCAATAACCAATGTATACAATAACACAGGTTTAACTCCAACCAAAATGTTGAATATGTTACGGAAATAGAAAGATCTCTTGATTTTTGACAGTGGGAAGTTTGCTTTTGGTCCAATTCTGGACTTGTGGTTGAGAAAGCGAATATTCATTGTTATTATTTTCATCTTTATCTCAAATATGAAATACAAAAAGTGGAACGAAAAAACGCCGGGTTCAAACTCTGTACAATGAGGCTCATCTTTGGTTGTGGGCTTGCTCTAATTTCCGTAATTTGCCTTCTGCCACTTATTTCTACCAGTGGTCATGTTTTTCATCATAATGAAAGAATTCTATGTTCGTGTATGATCTCTTTCAGCATCTATTCCTATCTCACTTCATCTAAAAACTGTTATGGGTATGGATCAACCTTTTTAGGTTAACTGATATATAAGCAGCTTAATTAACATCATTTGCTTCCTGTTTCTTGCAGGACTTTTATCTCCCCTCACAATCCTTACATGAAATATATTACTTTTACTATCTTTAATGTAAGATCTAATTAACTAAGTTGAGTAGATTAAAGATATGGATTAGATTAGTTAATATGATTTTTTTTTTGGTATAAAATATTTTAATCATCTTCCTTTATTCTCTTTCTCTCATCTCCCTCAATAGGGTTAATTTAGAAAAAATTGATAAACATGTGAAATAAATCTTACATAGGTGATCAACATTAACTTTCAAATTAGATCTTCCATTATGATGTCATTGTTGGCAGGGACAAATTGAACTGGCTTAGAGAAATGCAACTATAATTATGGGGAGTTATTACAAGATAATGAAAATGACATATCTAAATAGACAATTGTATTAGTTACAAATATATTGTAGGGTATGTAACTCGATCATTAAAGCTTAGTTATAAATCTTATGATATAAATGTCTTTTTATAAATTCTTAAGAATTAGCTATAAATTCATAAGTTTAATTATAAACATTGAAATAAATAAGTTGTAATTTACGAAAGATGTGTAAAAAAGCATTGAAAAATTAGCTTAACTTGCAGAATTTCACAATAACTTTCAGTATTCGCAATTGAATTTTTCAGATTTATAAAAATTTCACAAATTTAATTTATTTATAACTATTTTTCTGTTTTTTTACTATTAAATTTTAAGAATTTATAATTTATCTTTTTAAAAAGGATTAATATAATTTTTAATCTCTCAAGTTTGCTTTTATTTTAATTTTGGTTCCTTAAAAGACAAAACGGTCTAAATTTTTATTGAATTGTAGTAATAGATATCTTAAATGAAAAGAAACTTCAAAAACCAAAAGGTTAATATAATTTTTGGTTTCTCAAATTGGCCCTCATTTTAGTTTTAGTCCTTCAAGTTTTAAATCATAGGTTTTGGGTTTTGAATAAGCAAAATAATCTAGATTTTTATTGAGTTATAGGGATCAATGTTTTAAATAAAGAGAAACTTAAGAGATCAAAATATGTGATTTGACACTTGAGGGACCAAAATTAAAATGAGGGTAAATTTGAGGAACTAAAAATTGTATTAGCCCGAAACCAAAACTTATGTTTTAAAATCTAAGGACTACAACTAAAATGAAGACAAATTTAAGAGACTAAAAATTATATTAACCCTATAAAAATTATAAAATTTTTGTATTTTAAAACTTATTTGGAATTTTTTGCCAGCAAAACTTATTTAGAATTAATCTTTTAAAATTTACAATTGTTTTCATAATTTGCAACCAAACCATATTGCTAGTCCCCTAACAATATTTTTATTTATTTACTACCTCTCATTCTAGATATAATGGCTACAAAAAGTTTATTTTGGTCCAAAAAATTAAATTACAATTCATTTTATTTTTAAATTTATATTATTTTTCTTAAAGTATCTTATAAATTGTAAATAGTAAGAGGGTTTATAATGATTAGGAAAATTATTTTAGAAAAACTGACATATATATTTAGGTAAATTCTTTATATTTATTTTCTGATAATACATAATGACGTTTTTTTATGCGGCTTTGTTATTATTGTATCTAAACTAATTTGTTTAATGAGCATTTTTTGGATTACTATAATTTTTTTCTTGAAATTTAAGCCTATTTTATTTTTAGCTTAGCAAATTTCAAACTCATAGTTTTAGTTCTTAAAATTTAGTTTAAAACATTAGTCCCAAAAAATATAACTGTGTTAAAATTTACTAAAATATCATAAATCACATTAAAGTGGTAATGTACACTTACTAGATGATACCTAGCTGGATCTTGTGTAGATAATAGAAGGGGAAAAAAAAGAACAAACCCTCAAAATGCATCTCTTTTGTTTCTTGTTTTTTCTTCCTCACTATTCATTTTCAAAAACTGTTCTTAATTTGTTATTCACACAATATCTAATTATATGTTATTTGGTGAGTCTACATCACCATTTTTAATGTCACATTTCAACAAATTTTAACAATATTACACTTTTAGGAACTACTACCTCTGGTCCTTAATATAAGACCCCGTTTGACTTTTAGTTTGGTCTTAATTATAAGACCCCAATCCATTTTGTCTCTCGTATTTATGCATTGTTTTCCAAGATAGTCCTTCTAATAATGATAGTTCTAACCAACATACTTAATTAGCAAGGATATTTTAGGAATGACAACACTTATTTGTTACAAATAACTAACTTAACTTACTTCCTTAATCTCCTCAAATTAGTCAACTGGGTCTTATAATTAGGACCGGAGGTAGTAATATTTTAAGATGAATTAAATTTTAAAGGATAAAATCACGGATTTAAAATGTGAAGGAATGGACTCAAATTTAGGGAGGAAAATTTTTATATATATATATATATATATATTTTTAATATAAGCAAAGTCCGTTGGAAGATTGGGGAGAGACGAGGCGGCAATGGCAGCTAGACCCTCTACTGTTCTTCCTCATCCTCACACACACCCTTCCTTGACAGCTCCGAAGATTTCACCGGAAATTGACCCTCTTTACGCTTCTAAGACTCTAGCTGCCTTTCAAATTTGGGGACTTAACGAATCGCTTCCGCAAACTTCGCATGCCAATGGCTTCTTTTCTAAATTCATTCGCAGTTTCATTAACGTCGATCGAGTCGAACGGGGTCGAATCATTTGCACAATTTCTATCAAACCTCCTATCTCTGTAATCGCCTATATCCTCATATTTTTCTTACGCTGCTATTAGTGTTACTCTTGATGTTCTGCTGGGCAGCATAGACATTTGGGAAGAGATCAGTTTCTCACTTTCTTGAAGGCCTATTGAAATTTTTGTTAATCGCATTACAAATATTGGAATTCTTGTCCTTTGATTTCTTTGTGTTAGTAGATTTTGGAGGTATGAAAAATTCTATGTACATAACGCGCATTCAATTGCGAGGCTGCAATTTTGTTTTCGTTTTAGAGTTTTCACCCCTCTTCCTCTTCCAAGAACTGAAATGATTCTTTCCATTCCAGATTTATACAAGGGAACTAAATAGAAACGGCTACCAGTTTTTCATAATGTTTATTGGATTGGAATTGCAGAATTATTTTGGAACACTGCATGGAGGGGGTCTTGCATCTGTGGCTGAAGTGATATCTATTGCTTGTGCTCGAACTGTTGTACCTGGTGATAAGCAGATTTTTCTCGGGGAAATGAGCATGTCTTACCTCTCTGGTGCTCCGGTCACTGTGAGTCCTCTGTTTTGAACTTCGATTCTTCTGTTTGCTACATAATGCTTTTCTTTGCATGTTCTGCGAATGAACAGTTGAATTGCCCTGATTTCGACCCCTCACGTTGTGTCACTGTTTCTCTGTGGAAGTTTTATTCTTCAGAAAAGCATTTCATTTAAGTTTCAACGTTAAGCTGATGTGCCAGCGTTCCTACCAATACAAATAAAGTTGTTCGGCATCATCCACTGCAATTACTAAAAATAATGGGCTAATAAGGGTAAACGTTCAAGGTGTTAGTACTAGTGATGCATTCTAGGATGTCGATTATAAGCAACAAGATTGCATTCCAGGTTGAAAATGCTCCTCAACTTAAACGCAACCAAACCCACCCCTTTCGAAGTTTCAAAATCCAAACTAATCCAACACATCAATTTAGGGTAGGTATTTCTGCTGTATAACATTTTGATGCAGTTTTTGAGGTGTTTGTTATTAGTTTTGCTACTAAGAATACGACAAAAGCATAACTTTTACTTCCTCTAATCCACAGTGCAAGTCACTTTAACTCATTTATCAGAATAAAAAATTGAAAATTTTTTCTAACTTCAACCATATTAAATGAGAATGTGAGAGAGAGAGAAATACAAAGAGTTACATTTAAGCATTAATTGTAAGGACAAAATTGATAAAGAAGCATTAATTACTCTCTAAGTTATTTATATTTTTGACCATGTTAAGTCTTGGAAAAATTTGTTGTGAACTGTAAACACTAAACACCTGCACAGAACTTTACCCATTGGAAGAAAACACCTGGGGGGGGGGGTTTAACCATTGGAATTAAAAACAGTACTGCCTTTAACTAGAAGACTGAAGTTTTTTTTTTTTTTTTAAATAGTTATGATTAAAAACTCTTTGATCCTGCTAGTTGCCGGATGACTTATGGTGGCTGGCTGAAACTACCATGTTTATATGAAGACTCTGATTACCTGGGTAGATCCTTCATTGCATGGTTATGCTCTATTTGTGCAGGCGGAGGTGATAGCTGATGCTTATGTGGTGAAGAGCGGACGAAATTTGACAGTAGTTTTGCTTGAGTTTAAGTTGAAGAAAACTGAGAAGCTAATCTATAAATCCCATGCTACCTTCTATAACTACCCAGTTGCCAAGTTATGAAGCCTTTGTTTTCTGGTATAATGTAACACAATTAAGATAGCATTTTTATATAACAATTCATGTGAAGCTTAGATACATAGTGATATGCTCTTAATTATATTTATTTACAAATCTTGTATGCTTTATGGTTTATGACTGGAATGCCATGACATTCAATGTTTATGCCATTGCAAACCAAATAACGATTGGAATAGAAAGAGACGGATTGTCTCATCTTATTAGTCTATTAGTCCAAGTGATCGCCATATATTGCAATCTGATTCTTATGACAAGTTAGGTAAGTAAACATCTTTGCATGCCAAAACATCAATTGGTTGTTGATGACTGACGCTTTCGTCCAAGCTTATCACAGTAAACTTGCTACAAAATATTTTATCGATATTTGAACCCTTTTTAATCCCAGCGCTGTCCAAGTTAATTTCTTTTTTTTTTTTATAAGCACAGGTTTTTTTTAATTAAAAATAATCTTATTTGATACGCTGTTAGACTTTAAATATGGATATTTCTCCTAACGGAGATTTAAACATTGGTTCAACATGGGTGACTAATCCTTAGACTCAATCCCGTAGATTGTCCAAGTCAATTTCAACAACCAGCTAATTCTAAGAAAACATTGAGTCCAATTAATGAAATAAGATTCACATTCTCGAACTCGCGCGTTATTTATGAAGTGACAAGGCGTGATCAGGCCTAAACAAGAAAAATATAAGGCCTTCATTATATATAATTATTACTCCGCAAATGAAAGCTCGGGAAATGAAGAAATCTAATTGCCCGCCTCTGCGAGGACTAGAAAAGTCCATCCTACGGGATATGAAATTTCTCCCGTAACTTTCCAACGGCAGTCGTCCCCTTCAAAGCGCCCTCATATTGGTCATCTGAGGCACTTTCTCGGGTCAACTTTTAAACTAACTACATTAATATTTTTAAAATTATTAATCAGATCAAAGTATACATTTAGCCCTTTTATTCTAAAATTGTTAATAAAAAATAATGATATTGAAATCTTAAATATTAATAAAATATTCTTAAATGTTAATATATTAAGTTTAATTTTTAAAATAACTATGATTGTTAAAAAATCATCATTTAAGCCTAGCGTTTTTAGTGTTAAAAAACTAAAAATATACTTTAAAAATTAATGGACCAAATTAAAATCTCGTATAAAGTAAAATGACCAAATGTATACTTTAGCATTTAATTTTATATAATGTTTCCTTTTAATTTCTTAATTTTATAAAATATATTTTTAGTTTTTTAATCTGAATATTGTTAATTCTATTAAAAAATGTTAACATTAAAAATTTAAATATTGACAAAACATTCATAAAACATTGACACAGTAGATTTAAAATTTTAAAATGATAATTATTAGCACAAAAATATCATTTGAGAATAACAATATTAAAATTTGAAGACTGAAAAAATATCTTATAAAATTTAAAAAAATCAAACTAAAATGAAATTAAGAGCATCAAATGTGCACTTTTACATAAAATTTAATATCAAAACGTACATGTACGTTTTGCCTTCTCAGGTATATTAGTTTGCATTGTATGGCTAATCTGATTACTCCTTGATCCTTGTTCATTTCTTCCTCTGTTTTCCTTCCTAAATAGAAAATAAGTTTTTATATCAACTAGTAGTAATTGAGATGTCAACTTTTTAAAAAATATTAAAAATAAGAAAAAAAATAAAAAGAAATAAGAAGGACTAAAAAGAAAATTTGACCAAATGAGGCCTCGGACTTGGTCTCCCGAATCACGCGTGGGTACATTTGCACGGAGATATTAAAAGGAAATTATATTATCAACGGAAAGAAATCACCCCTCTGCTTCTCTCCTCCTTCCCTCTGGTTTCCTGCAATTACGGGATATAAACATGCTCTCAATTGATGTTTCAAATCCAGGAGTTGTTTTCCACACCTTGGGCGATGTCACGCATTGTAGAGATCACCATTTTATCAGCGGAAGATCTCAGAATCAATGGAAAGCCCTTGAAGAAGAAGGCGTTGGTGTCAGTTGGAGGCACTGAGACAAAAATGAGCACAGAGGGTGGGAGCTGGCCGTCATGGAAGGAGAAACTTGTGGTGGAAGTGCCGCTGCATGCAAGCTTTATAGTGGCCGAGGTTAAGTGCAGAAGCTTGACCGGAATGAAGAGCATAGGGATGGCAAGAGTGCCTGTATCGGACTTCGTCGGAGGGTATGTACCGGAGAATGAAGTGCATTTCCTGAGCTACAGGATGTGGGACAGTAGAGTGAGAAGAAACGGCATTCTTAATATTTCGGTGAGGGTGAAGGCCGTACCGCCGGTGAAAGGCATGCCCATATGCATTGGCAGCAACGCTTTGACCGGAGTTGCTACTGGCATTCCGGTTTGCTATAATTAATTGATTGGATGACCAAACAAGAATACGCACAGATCCCAGTGTCAACAATTTTCCACTATACCCATCACCACAATTTTATTCATCTGACGTTGAATTTTGCCGCGTGCATATCCTATATAGGATTGGACAGGCAGATAGATATATAGAGGGACATCATTTGGAGGAAAATCCAGCACAACCGGTGGAATAGCAATATCCTGTACAATGCACTTATTTTTTTATGAACATAAAACATTGTTTTTAATGTTCTGTGGTTGCACAAGCGCAAGGCTTTCAATAGCACTCATTTGTGTGCTTCATCATTTTCTATACGCTCTCATTTCACCACCGAATAAATTCTTTATTTCTAGCTAGGTCCACAATCGTTCGTTTTACCTAGATTGCCCATAATTTTTGTAATTCAAAGTGTTCGCTCGATATTTCTGTATGAAACCATCTATTTTTTTCCCCCTTTTTGTGTGAAAAAGTATTAAAAAAAAACGGTAACGCCATCAAGTTGAATCCTAAAGACTCATCATGATACGAACGAGATTACAAGCATAGCTTACATGTTGCCCACCTTGAGGTTATATATTTTGGTGGTTAAAAAAAGCCTTTACATTAAATTTACATTAATACCCCCAAATTTTTTAAATGCTGAGGAGCGTGTGCGGGACGACAAGAAATAGAGACTCCACGGAAAATAATGGGACGGTCCAACTACACCTCAGGAGAATTCAGACTCAAAGTCAACCCAGCGACAGCGTCATAAATATTTTTTCAGAGTCGTAACGTTGACGTTCGCATGCACAGCGAAACAACCTCTCCTTTTCTCTCTCATTTCCTGCCTATTCTGAACCCGCTTTACGTCCTCCACTTCCCTTTCTCAACCTCAGCGCCAAACAAATCCGAAGTCGTGTTTATTGCATTCATTAATTTCATCATGCGCGCGCGCGCCTCATTGCTAACCCTAGAGGTCACAGTTTTATCCGCTGACAACCTCCGTGTCGATCGGACTCCGTTGATCAACAATGTTTACGTCGATGGAAGTGGTGAAGAACGTTGGCGTGGCGAGGATTGCAGCGTCAGATTTTCTTGGGGGCGGGGGGGGGGATGGCGGAGGGCTGTTGTACGGTTTTGAGTTACGGGTTGGTAGATGGGGATGGTGGGCCTAACGAGGTGATAAATTTTGCGGAAAAAGATTCTTATGGGTTGTTCATCTGCTTCAACAACAAAACCAGTTGCGGTGATGACAAAGAAGAAGGTGAGTTATTGTGGGTTTCACTCGTTTTAAGTATAATTTAATAATAAAAAAAGCTAAAAGAAATGGGAAGAACCCAATATCAAGATGCAACTGCCATCCCAACTCCATTCACACATTGGATGCTCATATTTGGATTCTAATAATATTCATAAATTTCCCCGCAACCTGGCTTGACTCTACTGCTAGTATGTTATTGTTTCCCCTTGTTGACATCGTCAAAACAGCCGAAACAGGAAATAAAAAAACTCTGATTCCCTGTTTGATAGAACCTTCGGCTCGCGTCCAAACCTTAAAAACCCCGGATGCCGGCCAAGTTATAACTTGAAGAAATCTCAGGAACTGTAACCCATTCATCACCATTGCGCATAATATTTATTTATGCATAGCCCTCTTTATTTGAGTAGCCTGGGGCTGCAGAACTTGTCTTTTCATAAGCAATGGCAGTAACAACAAAGAGGTACGCGTAAGCTTGTACTCATTCAGCTTCATTCCTTGTTCTTCTTCCTCACCACAACAAACTACATATTCAACTCCATTATTGCATTCCCTAAGTGGGGTTTCCAGGTATGCGGTCGTGAGCGGAGGGAACAAGGGAATAGGATTCGCTATATGCAAGCAATTGGCTTCTGAAGGGATCACGGTGGTGCTGACAGCCAGAGATGAGAAGAGGGGTCTTGATGCTGTTGACAGGCTCAGAGAGCTTGGCCTTTCCGATCATGTCATCTTTCATCAGCTCGATGTCACCGATCCTGCTAGCATAGCATCCCTCGCTCATTTCCTTAACACCCACTTTGGAAAACTCGATATCTTGGTGACAATCATCTCCATGCCTTTGTCTACTCTATTCTTTTCTGGATTTGGATGGTACTTAATACAACTTGATAGTTAATAAATGTGTCGCCATCACTTTGATGCCCCCCAAGTTTTTTATGATTCTCTCTAATTTGTGCTCATCAAGGGTAAATAATGCAGAAATTTTCTCTGCAATTTGTACCGGGAGAGAAATTAAAAAAGAATCGGTCGATTTTGTGTAGGTAAATAATGCAGCCATACCTGGTGCGATTGTTGATGGTGATGCTTTGGCCAATTCTGGAATTGAGGTGTGTTTTTCAAAAAAATCAATTTACGATGTTATCAATCACTGCTCGAAAAACAGAGTTATGTCATCCGGGCCAAAAAGGACAAGATCGTAATATGTTGATGTTCACTTTAACAGAAGGGTCTTCAACCGAATTGGACTAAAATCGCTGCAGAGAACTATGAGTTAGCCGAAGAAGCAGTGAGAACAAACTACCACGGAGCAAAAGAAATGTGCAAATCACTCATACCGCTTCTTCAATTTTCAAATTCTCCAACAATTGTGATGCTTGCCTCCATGATGGGAACGTTAGAAGTATGTGCACAGAGTGACCTCTATCCAGAATCTTAATTAGTTGCACTTTTGGTCTAATGTTCCTTTGCTGGACAATGCGTTGTTGCAGTTTCTACCAAAGGGAAGGTTGAAAAATGTACTGAGCGATGTTGAAAGCCTGACAGAGGAGAAGATTGAGGGCATATTGAAGCAGTTCCTGGAAGAGTTTAAAGAGGGTGATTCATTAGAAGCAAAAGGGTGGCCTGCATTTATGGCTGCATATCATGTTTCAAAAGCTGCTTTGAATGGGTACACAAGAATTCTGGCGAGGACATACCCGTCTTGGGGCATTAATGCTGTTTGCCCTGGCTACGTAAGGACAGATATGACCAAAAGTTGTGGAGTGCTATCTCCTGATGAAGGTGCTGAAGTTGTTGTGAGGTTGGCCTTGCTGCCCAACGCTGCTCCTTCTGGGCTCTTTTTCTATAGAAGTGAAGAGAAGCCATTTTGATCAAACACTGTCATTTTCTATTAATCTTTCTTTACTCATTGCCACATGCTCAAAACCCAATATTTTCATGTAATAACCCGTCTTGGTCATTGTTTTAACTTGGTTTTCCGCATCTGATATACAAATCATCTTTTATTTTGGGTGAAACAAAGTCTCGCTTCCGCTTTGCAAAGTCGTCTTCTTAGAACCTGCAAGTCAATACAAAAAACCAGTGTTAATAATAGGCAAAAATAGCATTCAGGTAGTAAAAATCGGATAACATGTGACTCGTGGGTAGAAGTTTAGGATTCAAACCTAATTTTTTCGATTCTAATGAAGGGGGGACAACCTGTTAGGCACCAAAAAAAGACTCCAATAGACTTATTGAATTGCAGGGACATGCCCCCGTTATATTTGGGCAGAGCTAGAAGCTTGCGTCCAGCCTGGGCTAGCCCGAATTGTCCTTGAAGAAAATAATTAATATGCAGGTCTGTATTTATTTAGGGCCATTCCCTGTGTTTATTTTTTGAAATATTTTTATAATGAAAATAATAAAAGAACTAACTTTTTTGATGCTTATTTGTTCATATTGGATCACTGTCGTTCACCTCTTCATTTATATTTGTATATTTAATTAAGGGTTAAGGTGCGCCCAACACTCTGAATTATTTTTTCAGGTGCGTCCAGTGTCTTAAAATAATTTTCAGTTCATCCAATGTCCCAAACTAATTAAAGCGGTGCATCCATATCCCAGGCTAACAGAAAAATTAAGTTTAACCATTATCTTGTTGACTCAGCCAAAGGTTAACCGAAAAATTCTACATGACGGACACGTTGGCTTCTGATGTGTATTATTTTGACAGGTTAAGGTGCGTCCAACACCCCAAACTATTTTTTCAAGTGCGCCTAGTGTCCTAAAGTAATTTTTGGTACATCCTATGTCCCAAATTAATTAAAAAAGTGTGTCATATCCCAGACTAACAAAAAAGTTAAGTTTGACCGTTACCTTACTGATTTAGTTGAAGGTTGATCGAAAAATCCTATATGACATACGCACAAGCGTCTAATGTGTATTATTTTGACTAAAAATTTGATTTATTTCCTTCTTTTCTAATGTTTATCTTCTTCCAGTTTTTAAACTTAAAAAAAAGAAAGACCACCGATCCACTTAAATCCTGGTACATGTACGACCCATTCAATCACATCCTCATCCTTAACATTTTATCCCATTTCTTCCATCACTCCGATTTGAAACCGCAACTGTCGTCACAACACACTTCCGTTTCTGTCTCTGTCAACTCCTCATCTAACTCGTATTTGCTTTCCTCCTCGTAGAACATAGTAAACTTCCCCTTGGTCACTCTGTCGCCATCGTCGTCGCCATCGCCTTCCAAGAAAACACCTGCCGCCACCAGGTTCGACTCAGGAGCTTCAGTCAAAATAATACACATCAAACGCCTGCGTGTCCACCATGTAAGATTTTTCAGTTAACCTTTGGCTGAGTCAACAACGTAACGGTCAAACTTAACTTTTTTGTTAGTTTGGGATATGAACGCATCGTTTTAATTAGTTTGGGATACTGTATGCACCAAAAATTACTTTAAGACACTGGGCACACCTGAAAAAATAGTTCAGGGTGTTGGATACACCTTAACCCGTCAAAATAATACACATCAAACGCCTACGTGTCCGTCATGTAGGATTTTTGGGTCAACATTTGGCTGAGTCAGCAAGGTAACGGTCAAACTTAACTTTTCTGTTAGCATGAGATATGGATGCACCATTTTAATTAGTTTGGGATACTGAATGTACTGAAAATTATTTTAAGACACTGGGTGCACCTTAGTCTTTTAATTAATCAACTTTACTTTGAGAAAGGTTAAACAAAGAATAATTCATGTTAATGCGCACGCCATTAGCCCAAATGATTAGGATCGATGGGGCTAAAGGTATTGAGGCCTCTTTTCATATTCGGACTTATTCAAACTAGCCTAAAATTGAGCCTATCCAAATTTTTAACTTTATCCCACGAAAGTCTTCCCTCCTCTTCTATTTAGTTACCCATGCAAAACAATAAAGATTGATTTTATAGATATTATATCTGTTTTAATCTAAATTACTCCCTTAGGTCCTAAATATAAGATCTATTTTATAGTATAATTTATATTATAAAATAGATCTTATATTTAAGACAGGAGGAGTATTTGTAGAAATTGATACAAATGATTATAAAAATTGCTCATTCACATAAAGCTGTAATATATTAGTTTCCTTAATGTGATATATTAGTTTTTTCTCGATCACAAATTGACTTACTTGACATCTGATATCCTCCCCATGCATTCAAGGGACGGACAAGAACTACACAGCCGAGGAAACTTGAAAGAGACACACACAAGCACGAGTATAAGACAGTAGTTTATGTGGAGGAGTATAAATTAATATATGTGTGGGTGCTATAATTTTATTGGAGAACTTGGTGAGAAAGATTAAGGAAAACCTCACCTAAGCAGTTAATAAGCTGTTATGTGAGCTGAAATAATTGTATGAATCTATCATATTTGTGAGTCTCATTCAAGAGGGGATTACGGTTTCAGTAGTTCAGGGGATAGAATGCGCATGACCGCCTAAACTGGAAAATGGAAAAACGCAAACTGGTCATCACCGAAAGATGAAACTTGAAAGAGCCAAAAGAGGCTAAATAATGAGACAACGAAGGCAGGTTTGGAGGAAGGTGCATGTGATATGAAAGCCAAAATTGGTGGGTAAGGTTCGATCATTAATGTCCTTGTGCTCCCAAATTACTCAAGCGGTGTGCTTTCTGGCCTAATAATACAGCTTCACTTGCAAATACGTGACGTGTGGAACTCAATTATGTCCCCCCATAAATGTCAAATGGACGCTGGCAGTGGCACAGAGCAGGACCAACAAGAATTTGCGTAGAGAAGCCATCATCCTCTGCTTCTTCACCGGTACTTTGCTTCCCCCTCTACTACTACGTCGTTCTCTTTTTTCCTGGTTTTTCTCTGCATCCTATCCCCTCTGCTGCTTTATTCAGTCTTCACTTCACACATTATTTTAAATATCATTGATTGGTATGTTTATATCACCAGTTTATTTTCTTCCTTCCGATGTTTCTTTTTTTACTGAAGATTTTTCTGTGATCATAAAAACAAAGCTAGTTCATATTAAAGAAAAACTATTTTTACAACTATTTTTATGCAATATTGCTTATTAAAACCAAATGTTAAACTGTAAGATTCATCTAATTATTTTTATAACATTAATATTTTTATATCAATATTTTTCTTGAAAAACTTATGCTTCAGTTTCCTGCAGATAATATTAAAAGACTTGATGTAAAGGAGAAATTTTATTCTGTATCCAAAAAAAAAGAGGGCGAAATTTTATTTGTAAATTTTAAAACTTGAATTGTGAATGAGTCTTTATTTTTAAATTTGCTCATATGTCCTTAATTCATTCTCATTCTCCCTGAAATTTGCACCGTAATTATGATTCCGGATTGACGGCACCAACACGTTCGGGTTCCTATCCAGTTATCCGAAATTGCCCAAGCCGTCATTCTTCCTGTCCACAGTCTTCCTCATCTCTACGTGTATTCAGTACTGCTACAGTTACACTTTTCCTTCCCACAATTTTTCGGGTTCGGATTCTCTCGGTGGCTGGTTTCTTCGCCTCTCACAAGCCTTGAATCCTACCCATTTAAAAACAAACTATAATTTTAAAAATAATTTTACAGTATATGAAAAAATTTGTCTTGATTTATTATAAAAATTTTTAAAAGCATTTCTAAATTCAACCCCATCTGCGACGCAAACAAGGAATTCCGTCATCACCTATGGTTTGGCATCTACATTACAGATTACACCGGTTTCCTCTCTTCACCCTCCTCTTCTATCATTCTTTTCATTATTTGACTCCTGAATGCTTGCTTTACTCAATTAAATTTTTTTCCCATTCTTGATGCTTCTTCGTCGACTACTGAACTTTATCCATTCTCAAAAGTGGTTCTGTGACTTGAATTTTTACTCCACTTGATTGTGACCTATATCAATAAGCCAGTTTATTTTCTTAGTCTTAAGCATCATAGTGACAAGAATTTAATCATTGGGGGTGGGACACTCATCCAACTATTCTCAGAAGCTCAGAGTTACCACAATGTCGAATCCGAGCCCGGGGACACTAAAGCCTTTACAGGTTCAATTCAATCAATGCAGAGGCGTTCTTATTCTTTGCCACTGTCTCCCTGTTTTCTTCATTGTTTATTCTTTCCTGGTTCATTAACTGCCGAGGCCTTCTTGCTGCATCAGTCGAATTTTAAGATGATGACAATTTATGCTAGAACTGTAATGTATTATGTATATGTGGGAGCTTGACAATAAAACGTTGTTATTCCCTCTCGCTTGCAAAGTTGAGAAGCAGATCTCTTGTTATGAGCTGTTAAACCGGGAAAAAAAAAGGAATTGGTTTACTGCTATTAACAACTTAGGAAGACTTAAAACTACAATGAAGCCTTTATTTATTTTTTTCCCATCTCCCATTCTCCCTTGGAAAAGCATTGATTGATATTTATAGGATTGTCCCATTCTCCTTTGTTGGCTTTGTTGTCTTCATATTTCTTACGGTCTTGGTTTTCTATCATGCCAGCAAGAGATGGTTCAATCACTTGTAAAGATAGTTTGGGTCTTCATATTGCAATTTTATATGATATGAAGATGAACCGGATGGCCTTGAGTGAGGAGTGAAGCCTTCTCGCCAACTTCAGCTAGCAGAATGCCGAAGGTTTATTGTTTTAAAGGCATAAAATATAGGCAGCCATCAGACGTTTCATATTCCACTTTTAATACCTTTTGACATGTCTCCCCGTGAGTGCTCCGATGAATTGGATGGCTAGGATGTTAAGATTGATGAGGGGGAAGTAGCTTCTGCGAAGATACCCTCCGCAATCTTGAATATCTCGTCCAGTGAGTCAAGAAAATCAGTCGCCAAGTCGATCCGATCCGATCGGATCGGATCTCTGTAAACCCGACTAGGAGAATACCTGGGAGTCCATTTTCGTGGATCCCCGGCGGCTGCGAGCCCCATTTTAAAATGCTGATCCTTGTTATCTTTTTCTTAGGCCCCGCTCAAAGGTCTTCCATCCTTTTCCCTTACAGATCTGAACCACTTTACATAATCCCGAGGAACTCCTTCAGTCCCGTCATTGAAGTTCTGCTTCAAATTTCGAGTCCAAGCTCCGGCATCTGACGTTTCAATCACTAAGGTTTCTTTGATTCTCGTTTGGGCTGCCCAGGCAAGTTTAATTCGTGATTTCAGCTCTGCATTAAACGGGCTCCAAAATGGGAGCTCGATCGTGCAATGCTGTAAAACTCCACGAGTAATTGATTTCTAGATTTGTTGTTACTTTCCTTTTTCGACTTTCCGTCAGTTACTGAGAAGGATGGGCAATGCTGAACTGTAACTTGGGAATTCATCTCTTACTACACGTAGCTTTTATCGGTTTCAAAAATCCGAATTCTCTTGAGATTTGTCACAGACTCCATTTTTGCCACCCATTGTCAGTTTGATTGAGCCGCAGTTCTGTTTGTGTTAAAATTACTCATCTTTTTCCTATTGATTAATTAATTTGAGATTACTGATCCAAGTTCAGAGTTATCTCTGAGTTCCTTATTGGTTTTGCATCAATGTCTTTGAACTTTGAAGGTATATTGATCGGTGCAAAAAGTGGTGGATTTTCCTCTTTTGAAGATATATTCACTCAGAGGTTGAGAAAAATTCATTATATGCTGGTTTTGCAGGTTCTTTGCACTATATAAGCATTAATGGCTGCACGGACGCCCGGCTTAATTGCTTTATTTGATGTCGATGGGACTCTCACAGCTCCAAGGAAGGTATATATTTGATATGGAGCTCAAGATTGTTCGTGACTTTGATTAATAACAAGTATAGCAGCCTGATATATCAATGCAGCACCTTCATGTGTTTCTATGATAGATCTGTTTTTTCCCCCCCCGTCGTCATCTGATGTTATAAAATGCTCATTACAAAACTTAATCGCTGGATTTTTTCTTGACTCCCTACTTTTGTTTGTCAAATAAATCTAGGACTATGAATTTATTCTTTTAGAAAGTCTAGGCTTATGTTACCTCTGGTTAAAATGTTGAACTCAAATGCAAGGTGGTCACCCCAGAGATGTCAAAATTCATGCGAGAACTCCGGAAGGTACATAATTGGAAATTCTCAAACTTTCAAGTGTATCCCTTTTCTATGCCCATCTATCCTGCCAAGAATAGATATTTTCTAACATGTTCTGTATCTGGTAATGTCTGAGTACAGGTTGTGACAGTTGGAGTCGTGGGAGGATCTGATCTCGTAAAGATATCTGAGCAGCTTGGAAACACAGGTTTGCTGTGAGTTGATTTTTTTTCTTTCATCATGCTATAAATTTAGAGGCCTCTGCGTTTGAATGAAATCCAAAGTTTTGAATGCTCATTGGCTGAAAATATTGCGTTTGCTTGATCTTTCCATTCTGTCTGTTTTTTCCTTCCTTGCCCCATCCATAAAGTAGGGAAATAGCCATACCATGTCTTTTAACACAACTTTTGTCTTTGCAGTCATCGATGACTATGATTTTGTGTTCTCTGAAAATGGTCTTGTGGCACACAAGGAGGGAAAACTCATTGCGACCCAGGTTCCTAAGACGGTTTCCGGATTTATTTGAGCAGATTCATGGAATAATTGAAAACAACACATGCCACTTTATCTTTTTTTCCCCCCCTTTTAAAGAAGTGGAGCTATATTGTGAGGATTATACAAAATGAATCCTGATATGTTGAACTTTTTGCTAAGTACATAGAGGATGTTTCTGCCATCTATGGTTATAGAAAGTTGCATTGTCAGCAAATTTTTTAGAAATTGGAGAACTTCAGATCTCAGCAAACTCTTACACTCCCCGCCCAAAAGAAAAAGAAAATAAAGAAAGAATTTTTTTTTTTTTACATGATCTTTTTCCCTCTAGTGTACCATGCTAACTTGTGTACCTCCTTCTTTCCAGAGCTTGAAGTCATTTCTTGGAGAAGAAAAGCTCAAGGTAAGGCTATGTTTGGGTCACTTGAGGCATCTTACCTTAGGAAAACTGAAACTGGATTGATGAGAGGTGTAAATAAATTTATTACAATTTTAAATTATTAGGATACCATATAACTAGACAAAATGGCCAGAAATATGAGTTGAACTAAGTGCTTAAGGATGAAAAACAAGTGAGTAAATGAGATTATAGCCTTGACTTCGTGCATTAAATTCACTAATTTCAGTTTGCTGTTATAATGATAGACTGGGGACTATTTTGCAGGAATTTATAAATTTTACACTTCATTACATTGCTGACTTGGATATTCCTATCAAGAGGTTAGTAGATCTAGAGACTGATTATATAATTTTATATTGATTCAACTTACAGGAAGCTGTTGATCTCATATGACATAATATTTTTAGGGGAACATTTATAGAATTCCGTAGCGGAATGCTGAATGTTTCGCCAATTGGTCGAAACTGTAGCCAAGAAGAAAGAGATGAATTTGAAAAGTATGACAAGGTGATGTATTTTGGATAATATCTTATATTGAGTTTTCATAAATTGATATTCTGCTGGTTATACACCTTTTTCTGACAGTTTGCATCCTGCGTTCTCAGATTCACAACATACGCCCAAAAATGGTTTCTGTCCTGCGTGAGAAGTTTGCTCATCTGAACTTGACATTTTCAATTGGAGGACAGATAAGTTTTGATGTGCGTGACTGTCATGATGATATTGTGACTTTTATTAGTCAAATGATTTTTATTAGTCAACAATTTTTAATCTGAACAGGTTTTCCCTCGAGGTTGGGATAAAACTTACTGCTTGAGATATCTCGATGGCTTCAATGAAATCCACTTCTTTGGTGACAAAACCTACAAGGTCAGTCAATAAAGTTATTGGGTATTTAAACTGTCAAGTATCGAAGTGAACATATGCATTATCGCCCATTTTCTGCCTCCATTAAAACAATCGCTAGGTCATTCCGATCTCTAATCAATCTACATTTGTTAGCCTCTGCCAACCGTGATAGGTTAGTCCCCTGATGGAACAACCACAGCGGATAGTATCTGTTCTTTAGATTGCCCAGAATCCTTTTTTCTTTCTTTTAAATCCTCTGGTAAAGCATGCTGCAAAAGAAGTTTGTCATCTTTTATTTCTTAAAAGTAACGTCTAACCGTATCATAGAATTCAGGCAATTTCATTCTCAAAACCTAGCTAGCTCCTATATCTAATTTTTCATAACTTGTTTCGTCTGTTTTTATATCCTTCAACAATTACCATTTTGATAGATTTCTAGATCTCTTGTGCATGAGGTAGCCTCTAGTGTTCTGTTATGCTCTAGTGCCTGATAACTTTCATATTTACTTTTTCTTTGATCAGGGTGGGAATGACCATGAAATTTATGAATCAGAGAGGACTGTTGGGCACACCGGTTAGTTGTTTTCTTAACTCAATGATTCTATCTGCGAACTTATTTACACGGCTGAGATCAACATCCTTTCCGTGATTCTGGGTTCCTAATATCTTTTGTCTGCCTTTCAGTTACAAGTCCTGAAGATACATTGAAGCAATGCCAGGCCCTCTTCGTGGGAAACCCTAACAGCGATTCTTGAGACTATTGCAGCAATATTTTGTATGCTTTACTAAACAAACGCATTGCAAGTCTTCCTTAAATATTATTTTTGTGTTGTATAATGACAGAGGATTGCACTGCCAATATTCCTGCGTGTCTTTAGCACTCTATTTTTGGTGCCAATAACCGGCTGAGTTTTGAAGTAAATATGATTCTCAGTGGTCAGTACCATTTGGCGAGACTGATGCTGGTGATTTGATGGGAAAAGTATAACCCATAATTTAAGTAGGCAGTGATAATGCCACAAACATGCATTCAAAGAAATCCTTACCATCATTATACAGTCAAATTTCGTCAAGTTGGTGTTTTAACTCATCCCGTCACTTGAATTTAGAGAACAACATAAATGATTTTCGGATAGTTTAACGATTTGTTGTGTAGATTTTTTTTTTTTTTTAAATATTTTGCATTTGGTTACAATCATAATGATTGATTTATTCCACAGTAATTTCAAGATTTTATCATATCTTCTATTTCTATTCATAAAAAGTATTCATCATTAAACATTTTTCAGTTTTTATGATATGTTAAAGTATTTTCGTATGGTAATGATTTTTCTCTCTAATCTACAACAGTTTATCAATTGGAAAGCTACTCAAAGTAACGTTTTACAACTACCGCTCTTTAATATAAGACTTAATTGACTAATTTGGATAATCTAAAAAAAATTAGTAAAGTTAGTTATTTGTAATAAATAGGTATTGTTTTTTTAAAATACCTTTGTTAACTATGTATATTAACTAAAACTATCATTTAATAGAACATTTAATATGTACAACTACTATAAGAATTATTTTTAAAAAATAGATAAATATAAAAGACAAAGTGAATTTGAGTCTTATATTTAAGACTAAATTAAAAGTCGAACTAGCTTTTATATTAAGGATCAAAGGTAATATTAAACATTTTTTTTAAATAATTTGTAAAACTAAGGGCATAAGGATTTTGTGCTTATTAATTTTGTTTGTTTACTGAAAATTATTTCAAAACATTGAATACCACTGAAAAAATAGAGTATTGAATGTAATTTAACACATCAAACTATGCAAGAGTAGAAGAATAAAAAGGTAAATGAATTTTAATATAATGAAATAAAAAAAACTACCTCATATTCTAATTATAAGATTTCATCTGCAGACTACAAACGAGATCTTATAATTAGGATCGGAGGTAATAATTGTTTAGGGCATTTGGAACTCCATATGAGAAAACAAGATGGAATAAGGAAAATGAAAAATGTTATCTTAAAAATAATTATCGATTTGTGTCATTACATTTTAATTTTATTAATTTAATCCTCTCCATTGTATGAAATTATCACGTTACTTTTCATGGGAATCAGTTATTGGCAAATTTTAAGGTACTGTTGTCAAACTTGCGAGTTGACTTTTTAATTTAACATTATTATGGTTTCAACTAACAAAATCGTGTCGATGCATTTTTAAACTTGTGATAATTGTAAACTCAGTTAAACTTCCAAATTCATTTATCGAGTTTACCGTTTTTACATTTTTAGCTTACAAAATTATATCAACTTACTCTTAAACTCATGCTAAATTTTTGAACTTGATTATATTTAGTAACTTTATATATGAATTTTATAGAAATTTCTTTGGGAAAATTGCAAAAAAAGACCTTGGAATTGCAAAAACGCAGATAGGGACCCTTGACAACTTCACTTTGGGTTTTGACAAGAATAATATGCTCTGAAGTTGTCAAAACCCAAAGTGAAGTTGTCAAGGGTCCCTATCTGCGTTTTTGTAATTCCAAGGTCTTTTTTGCAATTTCCCCAATTTCTTTGTTGAATGTGATAAATTATGAACATTAATAGATATAATTTCAATTATTTGAATTTAAAATATATTTAAATGAAAATTTTCTCATTTTTTGTATATTAATCGTTTTATTATATACTTTTAATACTAATATATTAATAAAAATAAATTCTTACGAGTTTGTGATCTGAGTTTATATCCTTATTCCGAGTTTGTTTAATCTCGTGAGTTTGATAACCTTATTCTAATAAACAAACAGACAACATCGTTGACAAATTTCAAAAAATGTCAACAATTAATTATTTTAAATTAATATTCTTCTGATCATAAACATAAGATCTTTATACTAATATGTATAAAGATCTTATATTTAAGATCGGAGCAGTCTTAACATTAGCCTTGTCAAATATGGGGAACTAAATTGATGAAAATAAAATTCGGAGAAACAATGCAACTCCATCAAGGCCAAATATTTGAAAATGTCACATTGAACAGTTCGGCCTGGATTTCCAACACATGCAATTTAGTTCCTCGTCAGTCATTCTGAACCCTCACCCTCGCTCGAGCTGCGACAATTGCTTCCATGGCCGGCCAAGCGAACGCCGAAAACCCAACAACGTTCTTCGTTGCCGTTCACGTAGGCGCCGGTTACCACTCCCCCTCCAATGAGAAAGCCCTCAGGTCCGCCATGAACCGCGCTTGCCTCGCTGCTGCTTCGCTTCTCTCCAAGGTTCTCTTCTTACTGTATAGAAAAAATGATCTTCTATACCTCTTGGCTTCTCACTGATTGGAAAAAATTTTGGGAGCCATAAACTTGATAATTTACGGTCAAAATTTCTGCTTTTGGTGACTCACTTCTCCGAAACCCTGAATTAGCCTGAGGAAAATATTTAATATTGAGACACTAGTTTTTTTTATAGAAAATAATATTGGCTGAGAAAATGATGATAATTCTCTAGCCGGTTAATAGTGAGAGTTGTTGCCAAAACAGAAATGGATTAGAAATTTATCGGCGGTAACGATGATCAATATTTTGCATCGTGCTAGTTGAATGATTTACTTTTATAAGTCTTCTCTAATTTATTTATTGGTTTGTGGGGTAAGGAGTTCGAAGTTCGAACTCAGGGCCTTTCAGTTGTTAGAGGGAGCCTTTTTTATAAGATAATGGGTCATCATGGACTTGAGACGAAGCTGTATTTAGAAATGAAATTTCAATATTACTGGTAGGCTTCATTCTGTTTAATTTGATTTAGGGGTCTGGAAGGTGTATGGATGCTGTTGTAGCAGCCATTCAAGTATTGGAGGTACTTTACGTTTTTCTTCTTTTTCATATTAGTTTTGAATTATCATTGAACTCATTATTATTAGGGAGAATTACAATCAGATCCTAAGGAAGGGATTTAATTACCCTAAAGTCTATTGACAAGTGAAGAGCAAGTAATGACAAATTTCAGAGTAGGAAATAACAATAGGTTCAGGCTAGTCACTGATCATTAGGATTTTTTAATAATTAAATTTCTTCCTTGGATTTTTATCTTGTAAACTTTGTTGGCCTTTGATGTATTATTTTTTTTCTGGTGATGTTTTAAGTTAAAATATAACTGTCACTCAGCCGATTTACTGATAGAACATGGGCTATTTGTATCATTGTAATATTGAAGTGAGTTAAATAATTGCATTGTGAGTGGCTTTCCTTTCCTTTTAAGTGTCCAATACTCAATGTAATGGGATTTGCGTGGAGTTGAAATTGTATTAATGATAATATCTAACAAAAGTTGAAATGGTATATTGCCATAGGGAAAAATGATAATGCTTTCAGGATGTATTGATTGAATATAACTGTTTTTCTAGGATGATCCTAGCACAAATGCAGGGCGAGGGTCCAATTTGACAGAAGATGGTAATGTGGAATGTGATGCCAGCATAATGGATGGAAAATCTGGAGCTTTTGGGGCTGTTGGTGCAGTTCCAGGTACTTACTCGAGTCCTGACAGAACCACCTTGTGTTATGGTTTGTGCTGAATTGAAAAACTTAAGCTTTACAGTTAGCTTAAAATGTTTAATCAACTGGGAAATCTGATTTCTGAAGAGATATTGTTTTACTCCTTGTTTGCCTGAGATTTATTATCTTGTTTTTGATTATTTGTTCTACAAACTATAGATCAGGTGTTCGAAATGCTATCAAAATTGCTGCATTGTTGGCCAAAGAGCAAATTACTGGATCTCCTTTATTGGGTCGTATTCCTCCAATGTAATGACTACTTGAACTCACTGCAGTTGTTATCACAGCATTTTTTTATGATTGGAACATATGCCTTAAGTTAAAATTTTTGTGATTACAAATCTGGGGCCCTGAAGTATTCAACATTAGATTACTAATTGATATTCAGTGTCAGTCTCAAATACATAATTAATATTTGATATGGCGAGTTTTGAAGTTTTTTTACTTTTAGCTCATGAATAAATCTGTGTGATAATATCTGTTTATTACTTGTATTCCTGTGTCTGCAGCTTCTTATCAGGTGAAGGGGCATCCAAGTGGGCAAAGTCAAAGGGCATTTGCTTGCCTGGAAGCACTAGAGAGGCCAATGAGGTCATAGTTTGTCAACTCCGGCACACTTCAACAACTCTGATCCCCCCCCCCCCCAAAAAAAAAAAAAAAATTCAGATTTCTTTCTATCTTTCTCTTTTTTCACCCTTTCAAACATACACCATGTTTCTGTTATGGAACTTATCATGTAGTTATAAAACTTGGATGTATAATCTGTTTAGTTATATCAAAACAGTGGCTAATCACTGCAAGAGCAAGAGCACAATGGACAAGATACAAATCTATGATTGATGCTGCCAGAGCTGAAACAGGAGATTCTTCTATGGAACAGTCTTCTGTCTGTCAAAGTACTACAACGCTAGGTAAATAATTTTATCAAACTGATAGAGTTTTCCTATTTCAGGATGGATCTTTCATTATGTCAGAAATTTAGCATTTTTTAAAGGAAAAATATGGATAATCATTTTTTCTTATGTTGAGATGTACGAACTGAGAATTTCCTTAATATCATTGTCAATTTTCTTCCTTTTCCCTTTTGAGATCATTTGGCTACAACTTAAACTATGATATTCCATGAACTTGTTCTTGCTGAAGTTATGTCCCATTTTGTTTCTGCAGCTGTAGATCATACTTCAGAAGATCGCATTATGGACACAGTTGGAGTTATTTGTGTGGACAGTGAGGGACAGGTGGCATCTGGGGCTTCCAGTGGTGGTATTGTTCTGAAGGTGACAAACAAATTTCTTGGGTTGCTTGCCTGATACCTCAATTTAATAGCAGGATGTGAATACTCAAATTTACGTGTGAAAAATATATGACAGGTTAGTGGACGAGTGGGATTGGCA